TCTGAAGTGAAGGAACATGATCTAACCCAATGCAAGGAAGCTAAGAACCTTGATAAAAGGTTACAGGAACTGCTAACTAGAATAGTCAGTTTAGAGAGGAATATAAAAGACCTGATGCAGGTGAAAAACACACCATGATAACTTCGTATATACAAGTATCAATAGCAGAATCGATCAAGTGGAAGAAAGGATAGCAAAGACTGAAGATCAACTTACTGAAATAAGGCACGAAGACAAGATTAGAGAAAAATGAATGAAAAGAAATGAACAAAGCTTGGAAGAAATATGGGACTTTGTGGAAAGACCAAACCTATGACTGATTGTTGTACCTGAAAGTGACCGGGAGAATGGAAGCAAGGATATTACCCAGAAGAACTTTCCCAACCTAGCAAGACAGGCCAACATTCAAATTCAAGAAATATACAGAACACTACTAAAATACTCCTCAATAAGAGCAACCCTAACACACATAATCTTCAGATTCTCCAAGGTTAAAATGGAAGGAAAACTATTAAGGGCAGCTGGAGAGAAAGATCAGGTTACCTACAAAGGGAAGACCATCAGAGTAACAGTGGATCACTCTGCAGAAACCCAACGAACCAGAAAAGAGTGGGGGCCAATATTCAACATTTTTAAAAGAATTTTCAAACCAGAATTTCATATCCAGCCAAACTAAGCTCCATAAGCAAAGGAGAGATAAAATCCTTTCCAGACAAGCTAATGCTAAGGGATTTTGTCACCACCAGGCCAGCCTTAAAAGAGCTCCTGAAGAAAGCACTAAATATGGAAAGTAAAAAGTGGTACCAGCCACTGCAGAAACACACCAAAATATAAGGACCAATGACACAATGAAGAAACTGCATCAACTACTGTGCAAAATAACCAGCTAGCATCATGATTACAGGATCATATTCACACATAACAATATTAACCTCTTTTAATTAGAGCATTTAGCCCATTTACATTTAAGGTTAATAGGCAAATTGGATAAAGAGTCAAGACCCATCAGTGTGCTGTATTCAGGAGACTCATCTCATATGCAAAGACATACACAGCCTTGAAATAAAGGGATGGAGGAATATTTACCAAGCAATGGAAAGCAAAAAATATCATGGGTTGCAATCCTAGTTTCTGATAAAACAGATGTTAAACCAACAAAGATCAAAAAAGACAAAGACAGGCAGTACATAATGGTAAAGGGATCAATGCAATGACAAGAGCTAATTATCCTAAATATATATGCACCCAATACAGGGGCATCCAGATTCATAAAACAGTTCATATAGACCTACAAAGAGACTTAGACTCCCACACGATAACAGTGGGTGACTTTAACATCCCACTGTCAATATTAGACTAATCAACAAGACCTCTGTCTTGGATATTAACAAGGATATTCAGGACTTGAACTCAGCTCTGGACCAAGAGGACCTAATAGACATCTACTGAACTCTCCACCTAAATCCACAGAATAATATATATTCTTCTCAGCACCACATAGCACTTGCTCTAAAATTGACCACATAATTAGAAGGAAAACACTCCTCAGCAAATGCAAAATAATGGAAATTACAACAGTCTCTTAGACCACAGTTCAATCAAATTAAAACTCAAGATTAAGAAACTCACTCAAAACTGTACAATGACATGGAAACTGAACAGCTTGCTACTGAAAACTACATAAATAACAAAATTAAGGCAGAAATAACAAAGTTCTTTGAAATTAATGAGAACACAGAGAAAACGTACCAGTATCTCTGGGACACAGCTAAAGCAGTATTAAGAGAGAAATTTGTAGCACTAAATGCCGTAAACAATCGTGGGAAACAGTTTGGTGATTCCCCAAAGACCAAAAAACAGAACTGATGTTCAATCCAGCAATCCCATTACAGGGTATATAGCCAAAAGAACATAAATTGTTCTATCATTAAGATACATGCATGTGTTTGGTCACTGCAGCACTATTAATAACACCAAAGACCTGGAATCAACCTAAAAGCCCATGAATGGTAGACTGGCTAAAGAAAATGTAGCACATATATACTATGGAATAGTATGCAGCCATAAAAAAAATGACATTATATCCACTTACGGAACATGGATGGAGCTGGAGGTCATTATACTTAGCAAAGTAATGTAGAAACAGAAAATTACTGCATGCTCTCACTTATAAGTGGGAGCTAAAAATGAGAAAAAAAAATGGACACACAAAGGAAAACAGACACTGGCACCTACCAAAGAGTGGAGGATGGGACAAGGGAAAGGATCAGGGAAGATATTTCTTGAGTACCAGGCTTAATACCTGGAAAACACAATAATCTGTACAACAAACCTACCTGACACATGTTTACCTGTATAACAAACCTGCAACACATGTATGCTGAAATTAAAAGATAAAAAAAGAATTAAAAATAGATTTAAAAACAAAAACTTTGAGATGAGACAAAAAGGTCACTATATAATAATGAAGGGGTCAATTCATCAAAAGCCTATAACAATTTTAAAAATATATGCATTCAACACTGGAGCACCCAGATATATAAAACAAATACTATTAGAGCTAAAGAGAGAAATAGACCCCAATACAACAGTAGATGGACATTTCAACACTCTACATTCAGCATTGGACAGATCTTCCACACAGAAACTCAACAATGACAACAAAAAAACAAGACGTAATCTGAGGTATAGACCAAAGGGCTCTAATAGATATTTACAGAACATTTCATCCAACGCCTAGAGAATACACATTCTTTTCCTCAGCACATGAATCATTCTCAAGGACAGACCATATGTTAGGTCACAAAACATTTTTTAAAACTGAAATAATATCAAGCTTCTTGTCAGACCACAATGGAATGAAACTAGAAATTAATAACAAAAGGAATTTTAGAAACTATACAAATACATGAAAACTCAACGATCTTCTCCTGAATCATTAATGGGTCAATGAAGAAGCTAAGAAGGAAATTGAAAAATTTCTTGAAACAAATAATGGAAACACAACATACCAAAACCTATGGGACACAGCAAAAGCAGTACTAAGAAAGAGGTTTATAGCTCTAAGAGTCTATATTCAAAAAGGTAAAAACTTCAAATAAACAATCTAATGATGCATCTTAAACAGCTGCAAAGAAAGAGCAAACCAAACCAAAAATCAGTAGACGAATAAAGATCAAAACAGAAATAAAAGAAATTAAAATGAAAAAACCCTACAAAGGAGCAATAAAAGTTGTTTTTAAATAAGTTAACCAAAATTGACAAACCATTAGCCAGACTAAGGAAAAAAGAGAGAAAAAAAACAAATGAATAAAATCAAAATGGAAAAAGGATTTGAGAGGCTGAGGCAGGCAGATCACTTGAGGCCAGGAGCTCGAGACCAGCCTGGACAACATAGTGAAACCCCATATCTACTAAAAACACAAAAATTAGCTGGGTGTGATAACAGGTGCCTGTAATCTCAGCTACTAGGGTGGCTGAGACAAGACAATTGCTTGAACCCAGGAGATGGAGGTTCTAGTGAGCTGAGATTGCGCCACTGCTCTCCATCCTGGGTGACAGAGTAAGACTCTGCTACAAAAAAAAGAAAAGAAAGAAAAAAGAAAGAAAGAGAGAGAGAGAGAAGGAAGGGAGAGGAGGGGAGGGGAGGGGAGGGAAGAAAGGAATGAAAAAGGAGGTATTAAAATTGATGCTGCAGAAATTCAAAGGATCCTGTGAGCAACTACATGCCTATAAATTGGAAAATCTATACCAAATGGACTAATTCCTAAATGCATACAACCTCTCAAGATTGAACCAGGAAGAAATCCATAACCTAAACAGACCAATAACAAGAAACAAGAACAAGCCAGAATAAAAGTTCTTCCAGTAAAGAAAAACCCAGGACCTATGGCTTCACTACTGAATTCTACCAAACATTTAAAGAACTAATGTTAATCCTACCCTATTTTGAAAATTAGAGGAGGACAGAGTATTTTCAAACTTATTCTATGTGGCTGGTATTACCCTGATACCAAACCAAAGACACATCAAAAAAAGAAAACTACAGGCCAGAATCGCTGATGAATATTGATGCAGAAACCCTCAACAGAATACCAGCAAATCAAATTCAACAATACATTACAAAGAATACTCATCATGACCAAGTGAGATTTATCCCTGGGATACAAGGATGTTTCAACATATGCAAATTAATTTATGTGATAAATCATATCAACAGAATGAAGGATAAAAACCATCTAATCATTTCAATTGATGCTGAAAAAGCATTTACTAAAACTCAGTATGTCATCATGATACAAATCCTCAAAACAATTGGGATAGAAAGAACATACTTCAATGTAATAAAAGCCATATACAACAGACCCAGAGCTAGTACTGAAAAGTGGCCTTGTGGTCTGGGTTAACAAGAGTTCTTAGTTTCACAGCCAAGGAAATCAAGGACAGGGGCCCACCAAGAGCGAGGTTTAGAGCAGAAATTTAATAGGAGAAAGGAAGAAAACAGCTCTCTGCTACAGAGAGGGGTCCTGAAAAAAGGGTTGCCATCCTGCAGTGAAATGCAGCGGTGTTTATAGAAGAGTTAGTGGGGAACCAGTATCTGATCTACATAGGGTAAAAACAACCAGTTAGGAACAGGTGTACCATCTGCATAGGGTTTGAATCTCTGGCAGCCCCCAACCTAATCTTATTATGCAAGCGGTCCTCAGCCTGAGCTACCCCATGTTCCTCATTTCTTTCTTACTGTGTATGTGCTAAAAGGGGGAGGTGGAACACCCATGGTGGACACACCTGGCCCCAGGTAACCTTTTCTATCTATGCAGCTGCTGGCATCCCCCTAGGAAAGCTTCCAGCTCACTATCTACCTATAATAGAAAATCAATGTACCAATATTTTATCTCTGTATACCTCCTCAAACACAAGATTTAAACTTTCAAAATAGATACAATTCTCAAGAGTATTAAAAACCTAAAAATAAGTTTAACAAAAATATGCAAAAACTCTGCAGAAGACTGTAAAACTTTATTAAGAGAATGTCAGCAGTAAAATTTCCAGCATAAGAACAACATTCTTGGGTTTGGTCTTCATTTGTCTTGGTTTAAACCTATGGTTGCCCATCACCTATAATATAAATATAAAATTAGGGCATGTTACTCAGCAGATTTTTATTTAGATGACACTAGAAGTGAACAACTACAATGTTGATTAACTAAAATAAGAACCTTAAGGGTGACCCTTCAGCTTACATCCAGTTATCCTTTGAATAAACTCTAAAGGAAAACTTCCAGGCATGTTAACAAATTTTTAATCCACGCCACTTTTTCTGGTACAAGAAGGAAACAAAGAGACTGTTCAAGTTCAGAATAAACTAAATCAAGTGAATCTATTTTATAACTGAAAAGCAAAAAAATACATATTCTTTCAGTAAAATTTCAACCAAACAAAAACCTAAGAAAAAAAGGTATTTTAAAGTGTCATTTAAATATATTGATATGAAGTAACACTCATATAGAATATGCTTAGAACTGCCTAAGTAAAGTAAACAGAAAAGTCAGTATTACATTTGTTTTGTGTCTCTTGTGAAAAAGTGTAAAGATGGTACTTTGGACTACTTTAGCTACTACATAGCTGCTTTAGGTAGAGTGAACATTTGTCACTAAGTTCACCAGTACTCCTGCCTCTTGACATGAAAAGTATTTCAGTTTATATAGTAAACTGAATATCCATGCTAGCTTTAAATCACTACCACCACAGTTAAGAACATAATATAAACTGATGGCTTACTTTAAACATGTTATGTATTTGTTAAAAACAGGCCTTTATGCAAATAAATAATCTGAAAATCAAAATCAAAGTGAAGAATCTGAAAATTATTGGCTGTGAGTTAAACGACTTACATTCAAAAGTCAGAAACATTTTCATATCTTTCTTTTAAAAATGACACAAATCTTAGATATTTATCACATACAACTTGATGTATTAAAATATATATACATTGTGAAATGGCTCAGCCAAGCTAAATAATATGTGCATTACTTCAATCAACTGTGAAGACACTCGAAATCTACTCTCCTAGCATGTTTCATATCTTTCCTATCATAACTAGCTTTGACCCAATTTTTCTCTATCTTTTGAACTCCTGGCCTCAAGTAACCCTTCTGCCTTGGCCTCCCAAAGTGCTGGAACTAAAAACATGAGCCACCACACCTGGCCCTCTATCTCCAATAGTGTGTAAGGCAGGCATCTGGGGTCTTAAATACCTTTGAAGAATCTTTATATGTGAAGTATGATATTAAAATATCAGTAATTTTATCTGTGTCACATTAAATAGAAACCCTATAATTTGCATCTTATTGAATAACATACCTGCTTCCAGCACTTCAGTGAGATCAAAAGTGGGTGGAATCTCCTCTCTGACATCTGGACCATCTCCAGGCTCATCCTCTATCTTAAGCAGAGCTAGCTCCTGTTGAAGAGCTTGCACATCAGGCCCTTAAAGATAAAAATGTCATCAATTTACAAATTAAAACATAAACTATGAACGAGGAAAAGTTAGTATTTATTCCCTCATCATTGTGAAATAAAAACCTGTAACCTAATTATTTCAGGATTCTGTTTCCAGAAAAACAGGAAAGCAGAGGTTTTCGGAGACTGCCCTTTCCTTTCCCAAAGTTGGCCCTAGACAACTTACTTGTCCCTTTTGTACTCATTATACTTAGCACAATAAATCAGTGATTTCTTTGAGTCAGTCTTACTAGACTACTAGTTTTATGCAGAAATTTAGCACTGACATCTCCAGCACTTAGTATATTATATGGCATGAGGAAGCACTAATAAATGTGTGGAAAAAGTATCTTAAAAAAATACATGAGCTGTCAGCAAATGACAGACTAGGAAGCTACAAGCTGCCATTCTTCCACAGAAACATTAAAAAAAAAAAGGCAGAAACTGGCTGAACAAACCACACAGGAGCTCTGGAAAACGCTCAAAGGTTTATGGCAACTATGCAAATACCCAATCAATAAAAAGCCTCCGTCAAAACGGTAGAAAAGTTTTGTGGCTTTTTCTGTGTCCTTGTCCCACTTCTCCCCACAGCAGCAGTAGGAAATGTTTAAGATTCCTTCCCAATGTTTTCTTTCTTCCTGTAACGGGTATGTCATAAAATATAATGCATAAATACACCTCCACCACCCATAATCAGTATCCTTCATTCTCCCTTTACCTTGAACAGCAGGTGCTCCTTCATTTTCGATCACACCACTAGGTGCAATACCCTGAGTTTCAGTTGGTGGTTCCTCTTCTTGACGTTTTTCCTCAGTGGGCTGCTGGACCTAAGGGTATAAGTGTGTGTGTGTGAAAAAGTCTGTAATATAAATACACACAATGCATATGTGCATCTAATTATAAGTCTAATGACATTTTCCAACAGTTATATATAGGGTAAACTATTCATATCCACATCAATGGATATCATACTTCTGAACCAAAGTTTCCTTCATGAGATACCATTATCATTTTTTATTACCATGGAAGGCATGTATCAGTTCATGTACACTAGCTCAAAAATATTTTTAAAACTAAATTGTTAATAGAAAACATCAAATGTTGAAGGACTCACAATCACAGGTTCAACTGGCTGGGAAGGCTCTTCGTCATTTCCTCTTTCTGAGGATTGGGATCTTGTTCTTACATGCTCACTCATAGTTCCCACTGAAAATAGAATATTGTTATATGGAAAATGTGTGTAAGAACTTAGCCATATATATATATATATATATATATAAGCATTCCATGGCAAAACAGTAATTTGTACTTTCAAAATTTTGATTTAATATTTTCTAAATGAGTCACAGGACAATAAGTATGATACTTTCCAATCAAACTAAGTGCAGATTTGTTTATATCATAGTCTAACAGGTATAGAGATCACCTTAATGCCATAGTAAAAGACAGAGGGCTTTCCTAAGTTTCCTAAAAGTTTCACAATTAGACTCACCATCATGAAGATGTTTACGAAAATATGGACTGAGAATTGAAACCGAAGTGACCACAGCTTTCGTCCCACTCTAATTTACTAGGCCCATTCCACCCCCCCAACCATCTACCTACTCCCAAAATCAAGTTTTGTTGGAATACACAGTCTCACCCATTTCCTCCCATGACGTCCATGGCAGAAGTGCGAAGTTGTAAAACATAGTGAAGCTTATGCTCACGAGACACCTCGGCCAAGCACTCCTCAGACCTTGGGGCCACAGTCACCAGCCCACAGCGTTCCCAGTTCCTAAGCCCCTTCCTTACCACCCACAACGTCCGTACTGAGGAGTCTGGAAACTGTCCTCCCTCAGAGAGTTCCAGGAGTTTTCTGGACTCAAAACACCTCTAACAGCATTCCCAACACTCGCCCCAGCTTCATGTGATCTCTCCCCTCCACGGCTCACCTTCCGCCCATGTCCTAACCCAGCCACAACAAAGCCCATGGCAGCCTCAAGACCTGGGAGGAGCCGGACAACAATGGCGAGGCCCTTTTACCTCAAAAGCCTCGGACCGTGTGGCAGGACCTGTCTGAAGCCCGCTGGCTTCTCTTCACATTCACTCACAACGAAATTCCCCGAAAGACCCATCTGTGGACTTACCGGCTGAGTCTCAGTCAGTGAGAAAGAATGAAGACAGCGGCAAGAATGAACACAAGACTTTCCTTGCAGAACTCTACGTGAACAGAAGGTGGGCTGCAAGGCGCATGCGCAGCAACAGACATGCGTGGCAACAGACATGCGCGACAACAGATAGGCACGTGAGGCAACAGACAGGCACGTGCGGCAACAGACAGGCACGTGCAGCAACAGACAGACATGCGCAGTAACAGACATGCCCAGCAACAGGTCTGTGCAGCATGCGCACTGAGTGGGGCATTCACCACGTGACTGAAGTTTTCCTACCTCTGTGGAGAACTTAAACCACAAGCCCTCCTGACAGTGAAAACGAACTTGCAAAGCACTTTTCTTTTTCCCCCACCCAAACTTTCTTTCACTTCCAATGGCTTTGGAGAATATGAGCCCCAGGTTACTCTAAGAGAAGAATGTGTTTCAGAAAAATTCACCATGATAGAAGTAAATATTAAATATTTTAATACCCATATTACATATGCTTTCATAAATCGTTTTCTGCTGTCATGCTTGCAATGATCTTACCCACTCCAGTACAATAAGAGATTCATGTTTTTTGTTTTTTGTTTTTTGTTTTTTGAGACGGACTTTCACTCTTGTTACCCAGGCTGGAGTGCAATGGCGCGATTTCGGCTCACCGCAACCTCCGCCTCCTGGGTTCAGGCAATTTTCCTGCCTCAGCCTCCTGAGTAGCTGGGATTACAGGCACACGCCACCGTGTGCAGATAATTTTTTGTATTTTTAGTAGAGACGGGGTTTCACCATGTTGACCAGGGTGGTCTCGATCTCTTGACCTCATGATCCACCCACCTCGGCCTCCCAAAGTCCTGGGATTACAGGTGTGAGCCACCACGCCCAGCTGATTCATGGTTTTTTGTTCTATTATTGTACATTCAAAAATCATTGATCCATCTGTACAAAATTAAAGTGGTAGGGAATCAACATTATTTGTGGAATCCCTGTTTCAGTCATTGTTTTGAGATGGCTCTTTTATTGTGACTTACATTGCCACTCAATTTTGTATGTAACTCTCTTCATTTCATTTTCTTCCCTTGGGTTGCTTATTCCTGTCCACTACTATAATATTTTAATTGCTGTAGCTTGATTATATTTGAAATGTGAAATAATGCTTGCCCTCCCTCATTGCTTTCTCTTTTTCTATCTCTTCTGACACCTTTGTCTTTCAGATGAACTTCAGAATCATTTGATCAGGTGCTAAGATATTCCTAGTGTTGAGATACCAGCTATTCTTTTTAAATTACATCTTAACTTAGGGACAATACCCATCTTTCTATTTTAGAATCTCTCTAAGAAAAATCCACTCCTCAATTCCTCAAGAGGTTTTAACATATCCCTGGCTATGATTGTGTTATTTCCTTCGTATTAGTTCTTCACATTCAAATTAAATTTATTCTCTGGCATTTTTATTGTTCTATTCCATTGCAGACAGATGTTTGCTTTCACTCCACTATGATTTTCACAGAAGTCAAACTCTGTTTGCAAAAAATATGATTCTATACCTAAAAAATCGCAGACTCTCCACCCAAAAGCTCCTTGATCTGATCAACAACTTCAGGAAATCTCAGGATACAAAATTAATGTAAAAACCAGGAGCATTTCTATACACCAATAGCCTTCTAAGCTCAGATCCAAATCAGAAACACAATCACATTCACAACTGCCACAAAAAGAATAACATACCTAGGAATACAGCTAACTAGGGAGGAGAAAAACCTCTACTATGAGAACTATAAAACACTGCTCAAATAAATCAGAGATGACAAAAAGAAATGGAAAAACATTTCATGTTCATGAACAGGGAAAGCAATATTGTAAAAATGGTCAACTTGACCAAAGCAATTTATAGATTCAATGATATTCCTATTAAACTACCAATGACATTCTTCACAGAATTAGAAAAAAAAACTATTTTCAAATTCATAGGGAATGGTTGCAGGGGTGGTGGAGGACGTGGGGGGTAGGGTTGGGGAGCAGATCTGGCAAGATGGACAAATAGGAAGAGTTGCAGTCTGCAGCACCCAGCTAGACCAATGCAGAAGGTGGGCAGGGGGTTCTGCAGTTCCATCTGAGGTTACCCAGTTCATCTCATTGGGACTGGTAAGCAGCAGGTGCAGCTCATGGAGGGCGAGCAGAAGTAGGGTGGGGCATCACCTCACCTGGGAAGGGCAAGGAGCCAGGGATTTCCCTCTCTCAGCCAAGGGAAGCCATGAGGGACTGTTAGATGGCCCAGATACTATGCTTCTCCCATGGTTTTTGCAATCTACAGACCAGAAGATTCCCTCGTGTGCCATCACCACCAGGACCTTGTATTTCAAGCATAATTCTGGGCGGCTGTTTGGCAGAAACTGAGCTAGCTGAAGCAGTTTGTGGGATTTAAAAAATTTTTTTCATACCCCAGTGGTGCCTGGAACCCCAGTGTGACAGAAGTGTTCACTCCTTGTGAAAGGGGGCTGAAGCCAGGGAGTAAAGTAGTCTCACTCAGCAAGTCCCACTCCCATGGAGCCCAGCAAGCTATAAAACACTGGTTTGAATTTCTCACTGTCAGCACAGCAGTCTGAAGTCAACTCTGGACTATGGAGCTTGGTAGGGGGAGGGGCATCTGCCATTACTGAGGCTTGAGTAGGCAGTTCTCCCCTGACAGTGTTAAAGAGGCCAGAAAGTTCAGACTGGGTGGAATGCACCACAGCATGGCAAAATGGCTGTGGTCAGACTGCTTCTCCAGACTCCTCCTCACTGTGCAGGGCATCTGTGAAAGAAAGTCAGCAGCCCCAGTCAGGTTCTTATCAACAAAACTCTCATCTCCCTGGGACAGAGCACCTGGGGGAAGGGACGGCTGTGGGCATAGCTTCAGGAGACTTAAATGTTCTTGACTGCAGGCTCTGAAGAGAGCAGCGGATCCTCAAAAGTAAGTTTCTCCCAGCACAGCACTCAAGCTCTGTTAAGGGACAGATTGCCTCCTCAAGGGGGTCCCTGAACCCCCTGCCTCCTGACTGGGAGAGACCACCCAGCAGGGGTCAACAGACACCTCATACAGGTGAGCTCCAGCTGGCATCAGGCCGGTGACCCTCTGGGACAAAACTTTCAGAGGAAGAATCAGTCAGGAATCTTTGCTGTTCTGAAGCCTCTGCTGGTGATACCCAGTCAAGTAGACTTTTGAGTGGACCTCCAGCAAACTGCAGCAGACCTGCAGAAGAGGGGCCTGTTAGAAGAAAAACTAACAAACAGAAAGCAATAACATCAACATCAACAAAAAGGATCCTGACACAAAAACCCCATCCAAGGGGAGGGAGAGCATTAGGACAGATACCTAATGCATATGAGGATTAAAGCCTAGATGATGGGTTGATAGGTGCAGTAAACCACCATGGCATATGTATACCTATGTAACAAACCTGTGCATTCTGCACATGTATCCCAGAACTTAAAAGAGAAAAACAAAACAGAACAGTGCCCAGTACATCATGTTACAAGAAATGCTAAGCAACATCCTTCTTATAGAACGAATATAAAAACAGGTAGAAATTTTGATCTAAACAAAGGAATTAAGAGACCTAGAAATGGTAATAATATTAAATGTGTAAGATTGTTTTCTTCTAATTAATGGTTGTACTCATATATGTATGTTTCTGCACTTGTATTTTTTTTTCAAAGTGAAAACAACTTTATTAACAAAGTAAAGGAATAAAAGAATGCTACTCCACAGACAGTGCAGCCCCAAGAGCTGCTGCTTGCCTGCCTATGGGTGTGTAGCAGTAAGGACAACCAGAGGTCACTCTCATTGCCATTTTGCTGTTGGTGGGTTTGGCTGGCTCCTTAACTGCAACCCGTTTTATCAGCAAGGTCTTTACAACCTGTATTTTATGCTGACCTCCTGTCTCATCCTGTGACTTAGAATGCCTTAACTGTCTGGGAATGCAGCCTAGTAGGTTTCAGCCTCATTTTACCCAGCTCCTATTTAAGATAGAGTTGCTCTGGTTCACACACCTCTGATGAAGGTCCATCTTCTGTAATTTCTTCAGGCTGAATAGGGGCTATGATATTCCCGCCTAACAATAAGGGTCTCTTGCATTCAAGGTAGAGAGGAGCTCAGTCAGAAAACATCAGTATGGCAATGTCCATTCATAACTCTTGAGTTTTGACAAAAGGTGATATCTGGAAGATTAATAAGTGTTTAAGAAAACATTCAGTAAGCTTGTCCTGAATATAGCTGTTATACTCACAAAGAGTATAACAGCTATATATTCCACAAGAGCAAAGCAAAATAAGTAAAATTATTCCAAGTAAACTAATTCAGGCTTTTCATGAACTGGGCAACTGTTGAAACTAAGCTGGTATGGGGTTGTTAGCTGATTGCAATGTGCCCAGAATTAGAATACTGATACATTTTTTACATTACCCATCCCCCTTGTTTCTTCTGAGCAACAGTCAGAGATCACTGGTTCATTCACAGGAATAAGCAGGGTTAGCCTAAATTGCAGAAACAAACTTAAAAATAACTGATGTGACTAGAATCTAATAACAAGTACACCATAGCTTTTAAAACATAATATTTCTCTTCCCAGTTTTCTATTTTTACTAAAGACAAATCACGGTAAGACAGATTTGTGTTATTATACTTGGCATGGTTATTTGTATAAAGTGCAGTAAGAATAATTATTTTTCACAAAAAACTTTTTAAATTGCCTCTGATGGAACTCTGTTCCATAGAAGGAATTTCAGATAAGACTTTTTTTTTAAAGCCGAACCCAACCATAGGCTTGCAGCCTTAAATACCTATAAGCTGGGTACATTTTTTCCTCTTGAGGTCCCAAGATAACTTGAAGCTTCTGGACCTGTCAGCAAATGACATTCTTTCCTCACCATAGGGATTGTTGTAGGCAACGTATGAGGCCAGTACCCCATGGGGTTTTTATTGGCTCTATATGTCAAGTTTAATTCCCTAAAGGAAAACACATCATTCCAGTCAAAGCCTTGGTAAAATAACCAATTTCTCCAA